GAGCAAATGGCAATGCAGATTATACGAAAACACATATCAACATCGATGAATTGAGTGCAAATCGAATCTGAAACCACAAAGCGGTCATGAAGCTTGTCAAATTAACTGTAGTTCTCTTTCTTAATCGCTTTTAGCGGTGGTATGATGTTACGAATAGATAACCCATATTGTTGAGTGATGTGCAAAGCACTGAACGTCGGTCAGGATTTGAACCCGCATTGCACCCTTTCCGGAAGCGCGTCCTAATCATCGCACTGCCGGCTCTGATTCTACCGTCGCTCAGTCTGTGACACAGTTGTGTCGATCTGTCAGCAATCACCAGGAAGTGTGAAATGCAGGTTCGAATTCCGTCTGCCGTTCAATGTTCTGCAGATCACTCGACAATATGGGCTTGGTTCATGAATTAGTCACCAATCTTTAATTTATTTCTATATGAATCGGCAGCTAAGTCGATTATCGACGAACAAATGACGTAATCTTACAGAATTAGAAGCATGTTCACAAACTAAATAATCCATAAGATTAGTCGATAGTATTTCTCTTCCCGTTCGTGTTGAAAACAAAAGCTGCTCAACTAGTCGTCAGAAGTCCCTGCTTCTGAGGGAAAAACATCGAGATAAAGCGAAGTAAAGTCATGTGTGTCATGAGATCCAATAAATTGCTACATTCCTCAGTGAGAACGGATTTGCAAAATCTATGACGTCATGCAAGAATCTACTGTTCATGCTTGCTTACATGTCCAAAACACCATCGGGTATTCAATAATGGTCGAATACCTACAAGTCATTCCAGAATCAGAAAGCTTCATGAATTCATGTCTTCAATTTTCATCACAAAAGCTATGTACTGAGCATTAAAATCTGATGCTGGACATGTGCCAAAAATGACAAATCTAAGGAAATTAATTATTGCAAAAATCGTAAGCAGTAGAAAGCCGTATAACAGTGCAGATCAGCAACCGACCACTAACAGCACCTTGTGAATGTTTCTTCTCAGTGATCGAAATCACACTTCTTTTCCTTCCGTCCTCCATCTCCCTCGTAGTCGCCAGTATTGCAGTGTTGGATTTCTGTTGATGCCGAAAGGATGGCAACGAGTCGTTATCCGAATGCGTTCTCCAAACAGCTTCGCAGTACTTTTTGTTTCTTCTTGATAATCACGCAGCTGCGAGGGCGTGCTCTAATTCAGAATAGCTCGACTAGACGACATCCGGCCGATGGGTGGTATTTCGAACAATGACTACGATGATGTCTTGGCTAATACTGGTTCGGGATTATCCTCCATCACGATGAGGCGCTTTTCTTTTCTCACGAGCTGCCCGCCTTTCATCGAGTATAGCTTATGTTTCTCCAGGACCGAACGACTCAACGAACACATGACTGCCTGGTCTCATTTGGAATTCTTTTTCATTGAGAACAGATTCTACATCTATATGATTAAGGTTACTAATTTTGTTACAACGAGAAAGTCTTGTAAGGGATCGAACAACGAAAAATTGGTGTGAAGTAACCTAGAAAAGCAACTTCTAGATGACGTTCTCAAGAGTTCGGGCATCCTCATGATTTGCTAAAATGGAGTAGCTATCAAATTAGTAATCTTGATACAGATAAAATCTAATTCAAAAAGTGTGTTAAAAATTTTAATGGATGCAATGTTAATTCGCCCAGTGTGGGGGAAATGGAAACTAAGTTATTCGAAAGCACGTCACTCTTATTTTTTGTTTAACTTTAACTAGACTTACTTTGTTTACTTTGTTTACTTACTTTGTTTAACTAGAACCAAGAAAAACCATGATTAGATCGGAAAATATATTGAAATAAGCCAATATTGCGTTTCAAGAAGAAATGAGACGAACGACTTCTTTGTCACAAGATTAGCCGGAAGCGATTACTTAGTCCACTTGTCCTTTTGGTTATTGCTGATATATGTATTCTTTCGGTTTTTCATTGTTCTCATTGCTCCAATCTAGCTAGAGTTTGTATATCGCACAATTATCGAAGCTTTAGAATCTTAAGAAGTAGCCATATTTTTTGATAGTTATATCCGTCTTTCTGTCATATGAACTAGAGAATGTAGTTCGGCTTTGTTTTCCGAAACCCTTAGGGAAAACAGAAATGGCCATACTTCGTCCATTGCTAATGGGAAGGCGAACTTTCCAACACACCCAATGTTTAGCGCTGATCCTTCCATTAAACATTTCATATCCTAGCTTATACAAGTGCATTTATGGTAATCGAAGGCACTTATTACTATCGAAATGTTAGCATAACAATCTTGTTTATAGAGAGTTCCGAAAATGGATAAATTCTTCAGAGAATGGAAATGTTGTTTTAACGAATATTCTTGTTTAGAATTTTGACAGTAAAGAAACATTCGAAAAATCCATGCTGTGGGAATTGGGATGCACGATTGTCAATTTGTGCAAACAAATTTCTTATTTTATTTGTAAATTACTAGGTGACCTTGATTTTTTTAGATATTTCCTGGACTTGCGAGAACTGGATATCTAAACGAAGTCATGTTGTTGACATATTACAGTTGTGTTCGTACAAAAGTGAAATTCTACTTTTGGAATATCATCGAAGAGGAGCATTTTTTCCTAATTGGTCATGACCGAAATAAACTAGTCGAATTGAAGCGAACTCTCCTCTGATCTAAAAAAGCTGGCGATTGTTTGAGCTGAGAGTTCGAGATTTTTGTACACGGTTTCCTCGATATCTTGAAGAAGACTGCACAACATATTGGTAAAAATAACACAGCTCCTCGAACAAAATCAAAATTTACAAAAAAAAAACCAAATCTTTGTGTGGCGATGAATAAATTGAAATGGGTGCGCCATCGACATTCTTGGAAGAACGATCCAGTTTTCAAACTAGATAAAATTGCATCGTTTTCCAAAAAGTCGCTGTTAATGCTTGTGAGTTTTGAAAGAGTCTATAAGAAGTTTTTTGTAGGACAAAGAAATTTTCGACTTCGGCAATTTTTACATACCATATGAACTTTGGTCGTCTACTTTTTATACTCATCACCCCCTGCACACCGTGACTTATTGCTTCATCGTAGGCGAGATTGCTTCACAATGCACAACACAAAAACAGTGGGTGAACATCTTGTGCAAGCAGCAAATTATCAGTCAAATAAAAATTTTATTACAATTCGGTCAGACGGTGACAAACCTGTAAGCCAACCCCATTCGCTGAGCAGAATATTTTCATAAGAGTTAGTAATCTTTTGGAAGCTTAACTCTTTGGTTACAACAATGACTGCCTGCCTTTCAGAGGCCCTAGCACAACGGTGTAGATCTGTCCGGCAAGATCTAAAGCACAAATCAAAAGACGAAAAGAGATCGAGGATCAAAAGGCCTTTTTTGAAGCACGATATATTTTTAGTTCTTCGAAGCCTGTGCTATGAAATGAGTACTAGCACTTTAAGGAAGGAGTTTTGTCCAGTGAAATACAAGCAAAATAAGAAAAAACAACACGTGGTCGTGTAGAACATAATCTAATGTTGGATATCATAGCGCTATAAAAAAGTGTTTTGAAAAAACGACCACCTAGTACTCTAGCCAATGATTCAAGCTTTCGAATTATTTTTAACACTACTTTCAAAATTTTTGTTCAGCGAATGATATCGGCTTAAAAATTTGTCGCCGTCTAACCCATTTGTACAAAAATTTCATTAGCGAAACGACTCTTTAAGGTGTAATGAAAATAAAGTAAGTTCAGTGGTGTCCGCCCGAGTTACTCGATGATTGCAGCATCTCACATGAGACAGGAGATCCCTATTTTCCTAAGGAAAGAATTGTTCGACCATTTTCAACGTCCTTCTAGTTGTATTGCAGTTTTCGTGGTTGCGATAGACGTTTTCTCCAGGTTACAGGCAGTGTATACGATGAATGAAGTTATGCATCTAAATATTTATTTGTAGCATCAGCACCGAAAACGTATTGGTCACAGATGTCGCTCACGCTTGGTAGCCTATTTAACTCTTTTCGAAATCATTAGGCTTTTCATCCACCAGGAATCGCCAAATTGATGAAGCCTTGCGTGGGAAAGCTTGTTCTGATTCACAAGACGAACAATTTCTAATGTGAACACTTGAGAACACTCTACTAGAGACTTTCAATTCCCAAGGATAGTCAACTGGATCAGAATTAATTGACATTCATGAAGACAAAGTTCTGAAACAACGGCCGAACCCATCAGCAAATCTGAAAGCCTACGTGATTTACGGGTAGATATGACAAATCGGGATAAAAAAGCTCTGTGTCCTGGATATTATAGTTATGCGGGGCCATACTAACGAGAATTCTCTATGACTGTTTATTCGGCCTCGATCTGTGAGTGTTTCGGCTGCAAAGTCCAGTGTTAAAAGACACCGTTCAAAATAACCTCAGCTGGATGCTTTAGCATTGTGTAAATATCGCGAGTGCGACTTCTTTTCAATTACCATGAATTTTTATATTGTTGTTGATGAGGCGATTGATGTTGAAGTCGCACTGATTGGATTTGCGACCCTCCAAAAATTTCAAATCAACGCCATTCAACTCCACCAAAACACATAGAATGTCCGCGTCTTGGCACTTCGCTTGTTAGCGTTTCCATTAACTGCTGAAGATTTTAATCCATAGAATTCATCAAGGCAAGCGTTTTATCTTAAAAACAATTATTATTTGATCTCAGCCTAAAGATCAATAATCTTTTGAATATCTCTCAACTTACAAGAGGTTGGTAACAATGTTTATCCGGTAACCATTTCGACATCTTCGTCTTTCTGAGAGCGGGGTCGAATAACGTTGTTACGAAGCTCGTGTAAATGAGAAATTTGAAGGAAAGTTTGGCAGACACGCCTTGTTTGCTAGGAACTATCAGCAACGACCAATCAGATCTTTTCAGTTGACTCTTTTTAGCACTTCTGTTGATTTGATGGCCGCTTAATTGAACAGGGTCAAATGATTGTCGAAACCTACTCGATAATGTAGAGTGGTGTGCAAAAATATTTGCGTCAGCTGGAATTCGAACTCACATCTCACTCTTCCCGGGAGCACGTGCTAAACCGTTGCACTACCGGCGCCCGTTTAGACACCACTCTTTTTACGCTACAACGAGTTATCTGTCAACAGCCAACCGTCTACGGTCTGGCGTGGGCAGTCACTGTCAACATTGAACCCACTTATGCTGACATATATTGAGTTCAATAATCAATCAAAATTCATGTTATTTGATCGCCTATTGCGATGGTATTATGCTACAATAAGCCCAATAATGTAGTGTGGTGTGCAAAAAAAGTCTGCGTCAGCTAGGATTCAAACTCAGATCTCACTCTTCCCGGGAGCGCGTGTAGAACCGTTGCACTACTTGCTCGATTAAATTTCCGGATCCAACGGATAGAGTATATTGTCAGAACGAATGAAAATTCGAAAAAAGAAGAATTATATGATTTTAGGCATAGTTGACCGCCATCGGGCGTACCCTTCGTGTACTTGTGGCAGTTCATGATTATCACTTATTATCATTACCATAATTGCAACATTAAGAGTAGTAATAACAGTTATTTTCTACTATCTACGATAGCAGCAGTGGTCAAAAAGCATATTGCTATTAATCAAATAAAACAAAATATTGCGCAATAATCCTTGACGATGCTAATTACTTTTAGATCAACTCGGCATCAACCTCATTGGCGAGATAGTTAACGCAGATGTGGCTATTCACCACGGCCACGGCTGGATTCGAAATGTAATTTTGGACATGCCAGTGATTCACGTTTATGTGCAATGAGCTCAATACATAGATGTACTGAAGTGATTTGAATTCTCAATATTACGCGAGCAAATATCACTTAATAGTAAGCTTTCTAATCCTTGACATATTCACTTTCCCGTCATGATCAAATTCTGAACTTCTGAATCAAAAGTCGCTGTTTCTTCGAGTCTAATATTGTTAGAAACGAGGCACTGGAACAAGAATAAGTAGTGCATCTAGCAGAACTGCTCGGTAAAATTCATGATTGCTACCGTCGCGCTAAAACCTCTGAAAAAGCGTTTCGTTCGAAAATCTAACAGTTGAGCAACGAAACTAAGCTAACAATTCAGAACAGCAGCACATTCTGATGGATTGATCATCAAAATAAAGCCTGCTGCATTAGTCTTTTACATTCTCAACTCTTTAGTTCTCTCAATGAAAGAATCATTAGCTGTAAACATCAAACAGAATCGTGGATGCCTCCAATACGTTTCTGAATTTTTTGATATCAAATAGCAAAATAATAAACAATGAAGGCAATTCCGTAGCTAAAGGCTGCGAACAGGGTATCAGAGGCATTCTAGCGAGACGAAAAGTAATTCATGATCAAGACGGAACAGCAGTTTTGAAAAACATTATCGGAAGAACAAGTAGAAGAACAAGGAAAACGATCTGAATTATAGATAGTTTCACTGTAAAGGAATAAAAATTTGTTTCAGATAAAAAGGCCTAGTAAATACGAATTACCTGACGCAAAGGCCCAGCCGAATCGTTTCTATCTGCCTCCAATCAATTTTAAGCTTGTGATAACTATATGTCATTTAGCAAGTGAAAATCAAAAGAGAATATAGGAAAGGAAAGCGTGTAGTTCAGTGTATTTTGTGCATCACACGACATTTTTACGACAAAAGACGGTAGAGAGCATTTTCAAAATGCCATACTCCTTGAAGATTTCTGGAGCACATCAGACATCACTGACACAGAAAAAAACATCTAATAATTACCACCGAATGAGCAGGTGGTTCAAGAGTTTTTGTGAGAGAATTCTGAACTTCAGTCATGTGCAATGACCTCTGCTCGCCAAATTTCAGTACTGAAAAAGCCACTGAGAGATGAGATGGCTGAAAGCGATGACTGCTATAGAAATATTTGGTTTTAAAAAGTCAACCGTCAAGAAGCGAGTAGGACACCATGGAATCGTGGAGTCCTCAAAGATGCTGATGAATGGGTGTCGTCGGCAGCAATTCGATTTGCATGTATAGCAAAATTGATTTATTTCGTTGTAAGCGATTATGAGACGATGAAGATTCGATTTGTCTAACGACGTCAAGCCTAGGCAATCGTAGTCGAAGCTCACTTGAGCTCTTATGATCGCGCAAAAGCAATGTCATGCTTCTGGTATTCTTGAGAGGAACACTGAGAATACTTTATCTATACTGTGAGAAACTCTTCGAAACCCTGACTGTAAGTGATTTTCAAATCATATAGGAGGCAATAAATGAATCGAAATGGGATATGGTAACGTCGCCGAGCAAGGTTCTTCATTAGAGCGGTGCTTTACAGAAGTTTCGACTCGAACGACAACGAAGGCGAAGATCGACTACAAAGACCAATGATTTTGTGGACAATCCACCCGAATAGTTGATCCTGAAGATGACAAGGACGTCGAAATGTTAATCAAATAAATTCAGCAATCTCAAGTTTCAGCAAAGTTATAGAAGAAACTGAGATGCAATGTTTTACCACGACGGGCAAAATTCGGAACAAACATCTGGGAATATGTTTCCCACTTATTTGAGCCTGCGACAAAGAGTAAAAATGTGTGAAATTCACTCTTTACAATCGCTTAGCGAACTTCTGGGTGAGCTCTCCTGCGAAATCTCTAAGCAATGAATATAAGAGTAACTATAGAGTATTGGAATGTTAGAAGTAGTACAGATTGTTAACCATCCAGTTGAGAAACAAAGAAATTTTATGTGAGAATTGTGATCATAGAAATGACATCACTTCCCACATCAAATCAATCGAGATCCTCAAGGGCTTGGGACCAATCATTCGGATTGGTGCAAAATGTGTTAACTGATGAACATTAAAATTTCCAAAGTCGTATACGAGCTGTTTCAAAAATGCCATAGATCGTCGATTAATTTGCATAGCTATCAAAAGAAACAAAAATGTGAAATCATGGAGAACTTGTTCGCAACACCTCCTACATGAGTGATCCCGTCTTACTCAATATGGCAACCAATTGGAAGTATGCTCGCTTCCGCAATGTGCTGTGTGTATGGAAATTCGTGCAAAAGTCTTCTGTATTCCTGTGCATTAAAATAAGCTCTCGGAGATAACATGCATTGGAATCAATGCATATACCCACCTATATTAACAGAAATTTATGAATAGCTCAAAGTGAATTATTTAACACGTGATGCATTATGACAGTCTAAACGCCACTAGGAGTTTCTTAAGAATTTAGCTTCGAATGAACATGTTTGCAACAAGAAATGAGGACTGTAAGTATTCAGTTTTATGTAATCACTGTGATAGTAGTAGCATGATTTCTTGAAGCACTGCTGACACAGAAACACTCAGAATTCACAGGAAAACAGAGGAAGAATAATTTCTAACGTCTGCGGCAGACGCTCTCAGACGACAAAATGGTGGCGAGCAACAGCACCAAGGAAGCAGAGGAAATTACTCAATCCGCTGCGATAAAGAGGAAATGAGAGACGTGACGAAGCTGCTCCTTGTTAGCTAAGGTGCATCTTATCTGCTCAAAACGTTAATTGCAAAATTTTTGAACTAGCACAGGACAGTTTGATCAAATAGAGAATTTCAGAAACTGTGAGCTTCGAATCAATGTAGAGAGGCATCTATAAAATTGAGCCAAACAAAATGTGGATCACGTTGTGTAATATAAAAAGTCAAAAGTGCGCATGTGTGTTATTAGGTTTCCGCGTTCGATGTTCGAGAAAGCCGACAGAAACTGTTGTAAAGTCATTGCCTACCATTGAGCTACTCAGACTAGATCTCACTTCATCTACGAAGCTCAGTGTTTAGTTTCAGAGCGACGTGTTGTGCTTTCATTTACCAATACTACACGCTATTTAGAGCGCATGTGGGGCAATGGTTAAAGATATTCGCCGCGCGTACAAGGTCGATGGTTTAATCTTGTGCTCATGGCTCACCATTCCACCCATCCCTTCGGGTTCAGTGAGTTGGTACCAGACTTGCCTGGAGAGGATAAGCAGTACTGATTTAGTGCATCAGTAGGCCACAGCGAGTCATTGTAAAGGGGCGTGCGTCAGCAGACATTTTATGATTCACAGGAGTAGCAGACGGCACCATTGTACTAATGTGACAGCGCTCCAGCGGAAACTATTCCCAATTGAGATTTTAGAGAATACGAAGAAATGCTAAACTAATCGAACCAACACATGCCTTCATGAATGATGAATTACAAAACACTTGCGAGCAGTCGTTTAACTCTTGAGTGACCGCGGTACAATTTTAGGTACACACATACCTTCACTGTTGGCCATTCAAAGGTTTTTTTATGTCTCTTATGCCTTTTTTGAGCTTATTCCTTGTTGAGGGCCAAAATCACCAAGTTAAGTTTATTTGGCTGACGTATCTACGCGTTTTATCTTCTTCAGAGCTTACTGATCCAAACCGATGCTCCACAGATGTTCGTTTTCATGTGATTTTTGCCTTATACTCCGAAGCAGCATCGCTCAAATGAGACTTACTCAGCTGTGCCCCTTTTATACAGAACGGTTGTTGGTTATAGATTGTCTGCTAATAATACTTTGATTTTCGGCCAACAATCCATCATGCTGCAGTCGGTACAAATATTCATTGGCGCAGGGACTTGTAATAATGGAAAACCGAGTTTGTTTTAACTTCGGCAATACAAAACAATCACACATTTCTTGCCGAGCGGTGTTGTCATTTGGCCGGAGCTCCTACGAAGAAGATCCGACTCGAACAACAGAAAGCACAAGCCCAGCAAGGTCAAACAACTGTGGAGCATCGACTCGGATCAACTGGCTCTGAACAAGACGAATCGCGTCGAAATCTCGGTCAAGTAAATATGTTTTTAATAATTTCATGCTTTCACTTAGTCAGCAAGAATTATGTGATTAAGATGTATTAGCGAAGTCAGGGAAAAGTCGGCTTTTCAATCACTTTTTTGAGCCTTTTCAATTTTCTCAAGCGAGAACAGAACAACGACTCCAAAAATTCAATTTTCTGCGTCTTTAGTTATTAATAAATAAGTACCAGTTTCAATGCGATGATCAGCCACGCTGTGATTGACTTGTCGCCAAAGATTAAGAATATGAATAAGTGCTGCAAATAGCGAGATGTCTCGGATTTCTTCAATGAGAAATAGTGATTTTTCAGCTCTATCAAACTTAAGTAGTTCATGAGAAAAGTTTAGTCACACGACAAATTTCATCATCAAAGCCGATAAAGTGACGTTTATGGGCGTTCTCGCTATCTCAAACAAATTTCTTTCAAAAAATGTTGCCGCCAGAAAGGTATATGGCCACTCCTCAGTAAAAAGACGGATACTACTAGTCTGCAGCTAGAGGCTCAAGCTTAGCTTGTACATGAACAAAATTGTGGACAGCCATCATAGGAAATATGAGCTACTGAATGCGCGTTTGGTGGCAAACGGTATGGATGGCTGCAGCAAAAAAAAAAGCCAAGTTCATTTTCATGTACTACACTATAATTCTATTATATTATAATATACCTAAAAGAATTGAGTGGTGAGCAAAAATACGACCTCGGGCGGGAGTCGAACCCGCGTTTCATCCATACCGGGAACGGTGGTGTAGTGGTGGCACGCGTCCTCGGTATGGATGAAACGCGGGTTCGACTCCCGCCTGAGGTTATATTACAATATTTATAATTATTCATATATGCATCATAATTTTTGTACTATACGTATACTATGCACGATGTACTTATTTGTCCTATGATGTGATGAATTGTCGTTACCTTTTGAGGTATTCACGGTTTCATGTGCTAATCTCCAGTGTCGATCGAGCGATAGATCAATCATGGATCTATGGAAATACTCTCCATTTGATAGCAGGTGTAGTGTAGATATTACTAGCAACAATACGTCGGAAAGTGTGATAATAGAACAGAATTGAGCCGGCTTTCGTTTGCTTGAATATATAGACATTGTATCTCATTAGAGCCAAGAGCATGTTCAGTGCATTTGTTGCGTGCAAAATGAAATATTGAATTAATACAAAGCAAATCAATGGCCGCCACTTCAATTATAGCCGTTGAGCTCTTTGTTTGCCAATACCCACTTAAATCTCTTAGTAATCTCTCCAATCACTGAAACGAATCATTAACAATCATCACTGACATCTGCGATTCATGAACATTTCAGGGCATAGCGGACAGCGTGCAACGATTTCAGTGCATACCGGCTTCGACTTATTTTCCATCGTTGTTATATTCGATGGTAAGCCTGGAAAGCATAGACTCTGTAACAGAGTTAATCCATAAAGAGCTATTTTCCAATTCAATATTTTCGAAAAAAAAGCCGTTTTTCTCGACGAATTTTCTGACAAACCACACCCCATGAGAAATGAAGTATAATTCCAAGAGTTCACAATTACATGCATCTAGGTTTGATTAACACTGCGTTGGAAGTGTGAGTAATGCAATACAGTTTGGTGGAATGTTTGAAGCCTTTCTGAAGTTAATACGTCAGTGGACTACGTATGTTTCGGCGGTATCACCCGCTTCATCAGAATCACACGCTGGGGCGAATCAGAATCACACTGAGCCCTACTTCATAGCAGCAATGGAGTGACGTTATCTGTGGCGATAGCTCGTGATGTGCTGTGTTATCACCATTTTTAGTAAATGGATTGCGGATGATAAAGTGAGCGTGTGGCTCTAATGAAGCGAGCGATAACGCCGAAACGTACGTAAGCCTCTGAAGTACCAACCTAGAAGAGGCTTTGAACATTTCCACAGTATATTGAATCTTTAAAGCAAGGTTTAAAAACAATCGATTGGACTATGAATAATGTTATTGCTACTTCTGAGGTTCTAGACAATGCAAAGAGTTCGCTAACATTTAAAAAGTTTAATGGAATCTCAAATGGTGTGCAACTTCACTTATTCAATTTTCTCACTTTTTCGTTTCTCAGTTTGATCTGCGATATTCAAATTTGAAGGCATTTCACTTGGTTTACTAATGAAATTAAGTTTTACTGTATATATGTGAATATATGAAAAAATGGCTACAAAATGATGATGGTTTAACGCCTTACAAAACGACTCTAGAGAAGGCGAAGTTGCCGAAACTTGAGTCACCGAAGACAAAAGCAATAAGAAGAACTACAAAAAAGGCTAACACCAGCGTAACGTTGCCTCAACAAAAATAGTTCTCAAGGTGATTCAGACCTTTTTCCGCTACTGAGCAATGAAGACGAATAGTTAAGCTTCAGTTTTATGATCTCGCTTAGGTGATGTTCATTTGTGCAGCGGGCGTGCATAATGGAGCTGCTAGACAGATACCATAATCCAGCTGTTTCTTCCTTGGTTTCTCGTTCCGATAGAAAATCGTTAAGCGATACTGCTGATGAAGGCAATCTTAGATACAAATGAAATGAGGACCATATTTGTTTTCCTCCATCGGTCGTAAAAGTGCTTATGCGACTCTTCACTATGCAATTCCCGCATCCCCCAGAGACCTTCTATTGCATCCTAAAATTCACAGCATTGTGAATATTCGTCTCGTGGCACTTAACAACAAAAGAGAACCGATTACTACTAGTACTTCAGGTAATTAACAGAAATCTTATTGAAAATCAGTCGAATTTGGGTCACATTATGCATTGAAAGTAAAGCTAACTTTAAAGGAACTTTTTTTCGATACCATAGAATAAAAATCGCTTCGGCACATCGACGAAAAGCATACGGGGCGTGGTTTTGTCTTGAACTAATTTTATATTAATCTCTAAGAAATCTGTCAGTCTTCCAAACATTCCGTCTTATCCTAAAGTCAGATAGAGTTAATCGAATTCCTTATCTAAGACAAGGAACAAGTTTATTTGGAACTATGATAGAATTCTCAAATTCTCTATAGTGGCAAATGTTCACACTGTAGAAAAATAAGCTCTCTTAGTATTCTAAGCAACTGAATTATCTAATTTTATTTTGGTGAGAAGAGACCAGTGCGTACAAAATTCAGAAAGATTCCTGTTCAAGCTGTCGTGACTAGAAAGGCTGAACACTACAAGAATAAGGTGTCTCCACGTCAGCTATTTTTTCGCTTGAAGTGCCATATAAGAGTAGAAGAATAAGAACAAACAAACTGTGAATAGCCGAAAATTTGGCACTGGAGTACTAAATTTAAATTGTCTGTGAAGAGAATGCATTGGAGTGGAGGATAGAGGGATGGATGGTTAGACGGACGGTCGGACGTAGGGAAGATGGCGGTGAAAGCGACAGCATGGAAGCGGAATTTATTCAGAATAGCCAGTGGCACACCACACACACACACACACACACACACACACACACACACACACACACACACACACACCACACCACACACACACACACACACACACACACACACACACACACACACACACACACACACACACACACATACACATACACATACACATACACATACACACGCACTTCAAAATAAGAGCACAAAAAAAATGTCACTGGTTTTTGTAATTGAAGTGGTAGCGGAGTGTAAGAATAAATGAGCTAACGAAATTGACTGCCCAGTTCGGAAGAAATTAATGTCTTTTAGAATTTTTGAGCAAATGAATAATTTGAAGCTGCTCGACCATCATCTCATTTCGTTTCATTCTGCTGTCTCTAAACTAATTAACTTCTGGAAATAATCTTATTCATGCATGAATATTGAATATTCATGAACGTTCGTACAAACACTGTTGACACTAAAGAAATTTGAGATTCACGAATGCTTCTAAACGGTCAAGGACCTCATCGCTCTTTCAAACTACTGTGAAGTAAACCTAACAATAAGAAAATTTTTGTCAAAAATTGATGGTTCACATTTGCAAGTCTTTGCTTCAATCGTTAATAAAAGGTCGTATCTTAAGTTTGACGTTACAGCAGTAAGCACCAAATTTATTAATCAGAAATTATTAGAAATGCTTAATTTGGTATCGTTCAATCGCGCATTTTCTTGTTAATATTTTGGTGCACAACCTGCCTGTATTTGCTTCAAGATAAGCTGTCTTGGAACAAATTCGCTTGCTACTCATGCACGAATGAACCGCAGGGGAAAATGCTGTTGTAGCGGCGTGCAACATTAATGGAGCTTGGAGCAATGATACGGTTACAGAAACAACGACTAAAAAGTGGTTCGCGAAGGTCAAAGCTGGAGAGAACATTCTAGAAAATCAGTTACGCTCGGGCTGTCCACAGTAAGCTCCTTTGATCTTGTGCCCCACTTCACTAGCATTTTCCCCTAAGCGCCATTCGTGCATGAGTTGAAAGCAAATTTGTTATCAAGACAGCTCCATTTCGGAGCGAGTATAACCAAGTTGTATACTTAGAAGTTCATGAGAAAACTCACAGTTGGAAGATACCAGATCGTGCACTTTTAATTACTTCTGGTTAATGAATTTGGTGTTTCTTGCTATAGTGCCATACTTATGAAACGACCTAATAACAAGGACAATTACTTTATTGAGGGAGCTTAATATAACTCATCCATTACTCACCAGGATATTCTTAATATATTGATCACAATCGCCGAATATAATTCGCTTTTTCATTCAAAAAGTTCAGTTTATTTCTTTTTCCCCTTATTCGTTACATCAAAGATCTGTCGAACTTCCTATTTGATTTTGAAACATCGAATTGAATTCGCTATTTATTCTGTGATCAATGATCAATTTAGACGAAGCAAACTACTTCCTGAGAACGACGTTCTATTTTCCAATACATAAAGTAGGAAAAAGTCTTGAAAGTGTTTTCAAATGGAGGTAATCACTTTGCAGTACATACCCAAAGAAATTCACGCATAATCTCAAAACGATAAACCGAGATTGGTGAGCAGAAGGCATCCTAAACAATGAGAGCGCTTGTTGTAATCGAAGCATAACATGAGCCTTTTTTCATGGAAGCTCTAGTTCCTTCTACCTTTGCTCTTGCCCTCTCTGCAGTAGCATTTTGCATTCCAAAAAATTTTTTTTCTCTTTATAGACTTCAAAGTATCGAGATCGATGAATGGAAACGAAGAGGTGAAAAAGAACAAAGTCGTCAATCGTTTGATTATTCTTCAGTTCCACATTTCATGGATCGCGACGTTCTGCTTTGCGATACTGGATGGGTCCGCTTAACTAATGTTTGAGTGGGAACAAAATATCTAGAACAGCAAGAAATACAATTACGGATTCAACGGAAGGCATATTGACACACCACGAATACTCATCACGAGGCAAAAATTGAAAATGCGAAGAGTTTATTGGAAAAGAGCCTAATGCCACACTGCAGCTTTCTCTGGCCAGTGGAGACACAAATAATAGCCGAGACTTTTTCGATTATGGCTCATATGATTTAGTATAAATGTAGGAAAGTGTTCGTTTGGAGAACGATTTCCTATGAAAAGCTCAGCATTCCAGATTTGTACGCATCAGCACAGTCCTATCAATCATGTAATTATATGAAACGATAGGCTGAATAGTTAAGTGTTCAAGTATTCTGAACTATGAGAAGCTATGATGGAGCCAGATTCTCAGCGCGGCAATTGTGAGTTCTGGGAACGCTGTGGCCGAGTGGTTGTGATGCTCGTCGCGACGCGCGTGGAGCCGAGCTTCACCCCCAACTCTTTCCGGCAGTCAGGGATAACGCCCTATAGAAGGTCATGGCAAGGA